AAATTCCGTTAAGTTTATAATTCTTTTTTGTTTTTGATTATTTTAATAATAACATATTTACATATATTAATATTTTAATGAGTTTACATTGTTTTTTATCTTTATTCAAGAAATAACCAATCTATAATCTGTATTAATTTCTTTTCTTAGATATCTGAACTCATATTTATGTGTGAATAAATGTCTAAAAAATATATTATCTTATTCACACTTGGGATTATGATTGGGATTACGCACTGGTTAGAACTTTATAATTGGGATTTCTACTAAAATGATTTATAAATTATTTGGACCCAATTAAACCATTTTTTATATTAAAAACTAAAAATTCAGTTGTGAGAAATTTTTAAATTTTTAAAAAATAACTTCTTTTTATATAACTAACTTTAATTAACTTTTTTTTTTTTTTATTTTATCAACTTTTAAATTTTAGTGATTGTAATTATATGAAACTTTATTCAAGTTCATATATGATTATTTCCTTATAAATTTAAAATTGCTTGTACTTAAATTGAAAAAGTATTACTTAATTATTGCAAATAGTGAAATGTTTTAATTATTTCAAAAGGTAAAATTTTAAATTAGGCCTTATTTAATTTTTATCTTATTTGTGATTGTTTTTTTTTCAATTTCTGTTATTAGTTCACACTCTATTTATAACGTAATATAATTATATATCTTGTTCAGATTTTCAATCGTTAATAAAATACTTTTTATTCATCCCCTCAAGTTCAGATACATTTTTTTAACTTGTAGTGGATGACACTTGATGTTAATACAGTTTTTTCAAAGATTAAATCATTAATTAAATTTAATTATATTAATTGTAATTATTTAATAAAAAGTAACTAAAATAAAAATTTCCGTTGTTGACCTAAGTAGGAATTGACTTAACTTTTTTTTAAAATTTTTATTTTTAATGCTACCTATTAACATTTTGATAGATAATTTTTAATTTTCTTTTTTAATGTATTATCTTGTAATGGATTATTGATTTATTACAAGATATGGTGATACAAAAAATGATGCAGTAATAATGGGAAAAAAAAAATCAGGTTGCAGTTAATATTATTTTAAATTCACGTTAATATTTATCACAATGCTTTCTTATAATCATTGATATTATTCAAAATAATACTTGCCAATTATTTATACAATCAGTTGCATTTTATTCTATAAAAGTCAGGATGAGAAATCAAGTATCCAACAATTTTCGGCAGTCTCATTATCGAACAGTTGTCTTTTCCCCATTTTTCGTGACCGGATGTGGTGAAACAATGATAGAATATTTCACTTCCCATTTGGCTAATATCCCTCTATCATCCACTTTCAAGAAAGGTTTTAGGAACGCAAAAAGGAAGCTGTTCCACTTCAATAAGGCTTTGAAAAATTTAACGTCGGCGTTGGTATTCACTGTATCCTAGAGCTATGTTTGGTTACCAATTACGGTGCGTAAAGACTTCTGTGAAAATCTTTGAAGTTTTGCCGAAGGAGCTGATTTGATTTCAGTCAATCATGCACTTTCGGATGTTATAAGAATTCAGCTTAATTCCATTCAGAATTAGTAAAGAGGAAAGAAAAATTGAAGTGCCTGCATTCTTTTATAGTTTTATTCGTTTTAAAGGAATTGATCTTTTTTCAAACAGCGGGGAAAACCTGTTGCAATAAAAGTTAAGAATAGATTGTTCTGTCGAAATAGTTCTGTTTACTTTAAAGTGTTATTATTTTATTTAAAAATAACTAAAAGTTGAAAACATGAAATGTCATGTGACGCCAGCCTACTTCAAAAATATTTATTAAGTCTATGCTGAAGAATTGTCTTTCTTTTGTCAAAAACTAGATTATGATTGATATTTTTCTAAAATTTCTTCTTTATGAATCTTGCCAATTTTTAGTCTTAAAAACTTTTATTTTTGGACATATTTGATATCGCAACAAAAAACTTCACAGTTTCAAACTACTATTTAAAAATATTTCAAATGCTTTTATGAAAAAACATTTTTTTTTTTATTATAAATGTTATATTTACACTATATACCGAATATTTTTTATGAATTTTTTCCTCTTGTTGTCATTCGAAGATATACAGGAAACAAGTAATTCGCCGAATTTTCCATTTATCTTTCAAAACTTTGAATTGAATTTCTTGAAAAATAATATTAACGAATTTCTTAAAGATTTTTATCAAATATCTTTCATATAAAAAATGCTAATAGCTTATATCTATTTTCATAGACAATGTACTCTTTGATGTATGTTTTAGTTCAAAAACCTTTGTTTTTCAGAAACAATATTGATTAATCATTTAACAAAATGATTTTCCCTTTTAGAACCATCGAGAAGCTTCCGATTTCGAGCTAGATGAAGGTCCTCTGAACAAACATCGCCGATTGACACTGGATCGTTGGACCGCCGTTAATTCGACTGCGAACATGGATAAAATGCGAATGGAACGAAACAAGACCACTAACGTCATCAAGACTGGTCTGCTGACTAAAGATATCGGCGTTCTGTGCAGCGATCTGATTCCTGTAAATGATAAATGCATTATGGTTGGAACCACAGGGATCGCTGCTTTGAAGGTAAATATTGTCATTGGGGTGTTGCGAATGATAAGTTAACATACTAATGCAGAAAAATTTAGCAATACGACAGCACTTGCATGAACGCCCATAAAATAATATTAACGGTTTTCTTAAAAATTAAGTAAAATTTACATCAAACGTCTTGGATACAGAAAAATGTATAATGTAATCTATATTTCATGTGGTGTATAACACTTCCATTAATCGTTTTGGTTCAGTGTTTCCAAAAACTCTAATATTTACCTGAAATCTTATTCGGAATTCTGTTTTGTTCATGCTTAAAAATAATAAATAATATAAAAACCTTTTTCAGATTAAAAAAATAAATTTGAACTATAAAATTCTTACTAAGAATTTCAATAATTGCATATTCTAATTATTTTATTGTTTATGTAATTATTTTGATAATTACATTAATTTTGTAATGCATTAAAAATTGATGATGAAATAAAAATTTTAAACTTAAGAGAGTTTTAATGCCGATTTTAGTTTGTTAATTATTTGTAACTGCTTCTTACGTAGTTTTTTTTTTATTGCATTTCCATAGGCTGAATATGGTGATGATTTTACCAATTTTGAAATCATTCAAGACGTTGGGTACTCAAGTGAAAGTTCTACACATCTATCCAGCGATGACGGTATCAGTGTGGGTGGCGATCGCTACTTCAACATACGGGTCTATAATTATGCCGATGAGAAAACTCCTCCCAAAACCATCAATCTGAAGGAAGATCTGGATAAAGCTGACTCCTCAAAGCAATCTTCTTCGCTGGCATCTTCCGTGGGATCATCATCTGGGGCGCCATCTTTCAATGATTCTGGACTGGGTGCAGCAGACCTACTGGTTACAAGAGAAACAACAAGCCCCGAGATTGATAAAACGTTGTTGACAGACGATTGTGATCCTTATGACTTGTGCCTTCCTGGAGAAGAATCAGATTTTCTGGAAACTGTGCTGGATAACTGCGTTGATTTCTGTACCAGTGAGAGTGAGAAAGATGGAAATGGAATAGACGATTTGCAGTATAATTTGAGTGGTATTGAGAGCGATGATTCTGCGGATAATTTTCATAATAAGTAAGTTAAAAAGTAATAATAAATGCAGTCAGATTTTGCTTCATGTATATAATTCTGAGACATACAAGTTAAACAAAACTCCATAAAGATACTTTTTAAAAGTATCTAAGAAGAAAAATAATTTATTAAGAAATTAATTGTATTAAGAAATTTTTAGGAGAAAATTGAAAATAAAAAAATGAAAATGGTTTGTATGAAACATTTTAATAGTTAATATTGAAAAGGTTATCGATGAAAAAAAATATGCCAGTAAATTTCACTATTTCTAATAAAATATGGGTGAGGAAAATGTGCAACTGCAGTAAAACTATAAGATAACTATAATTTTACTATAAATATATATAGTAAATTGATTTTTTAAATTTTATTATTTAATAGAAAAAATTGTTAAAACATAGACTTCTAAATTTAATAATAAACATATACTTTTCAGAAGTAGTAAGTCAGAAATTTTTTTTTTTTATTAGCTCAAAATATTTTGGCACCTTCTAACTTTTATCTGTTAATAAATTAATTAAATAAAAGTAATTAATTTAGAATGGGTGTTTTAAAAGCATATTATTTATATTTGTATATTTTCTTATAATCAATTTGATAAATAATGTATACTTCCGTGTTTTTTAATTATTTTTTCTCTTTTGTAGAAGTCGTTCACAACATCATCCCAATTATTTTACAAGATGATTTTAGTTGATAGTGAAAATGAAGAAGAAATACAAGACAGCGAATATAACAAAGTTAAAGATAAAACATTGTCAAATTCGGAATTAATGATCGGGTCTGACTTATCTCCTGACACCACACCCGAATTCACCAATGATATTAATGAAAATGTGGTAGCCCTTAAGAATAAACCTTTCAAAGAAATCATGGACTCTGAGCAGGAAACCTGAGCGGGAAAAATATATATTTGAACAAGTTTGGCCTTGTAATCCTTTTTCAAATGTATAAAATATATAGAAAGCGTGAGATTCAAGGAGGGAGAGAAGCAGGGCCCGGCCAGGGATATGAACCCGAGGAGACCTCTCACCCTAAGCGTGAATCATACCCCTAGACCACCGAGCCGCAAATCAGAGCGATGAAACATAATTTTGATCAAGTTTGTGGTTTTAATAATCCTTTTTTTTAAATCTACAAACATTTATAAAGCGTAAATTAAGAGTTAAAAATTAATCTGGGCTCGGCGGGGAACCCGACCTCTCGCACCCAAAACGAGAATCATACCCCTAGACCACCGAGCCGCAAACCAGAGCGGAAAATATATATTTGAGCAAGTTTGGCCTTGTAGTAAATGTACAATATATTTAGAAAGCGTAAATTCAGATGAAAGAGAAACCAGGGCTCTGCCGGGATTTGAACCCGGAACCTCCCGCACCCAAAAAGCGAGACTCATACCCCTAGACCACCGAGCCGCAAATCAGAGCGATAAAATATAAATTTGATCAAGTTTGGTTTCGTAATCCTTTTTTAAATCTACAAAACATTTATAAAGCGTAAATTAAGAGTTAAAAAGAAATCAGGGCTCGGCCGGGATTTGAACCCGGGACCTCTCTCACCCTAAGCGAGAATCATACCCCTAGACCAACGAGCCGCAAACCAAAGCGGAAAAATATATATTTGAACAAATGTACAAAATATTTAGAAAGCGTAAATTGGATGAAAAGAAACCTTTGAACCTTTTTTCAGAATGTACCCCTAGACCACCGAGCCGCAAACCAGAGATAAAATATTAACAAGTTTGGCCTTGTAATCCTTTTTTCAAATGTACAAAATATTTATAAAGCGTAAATTAGAGAAAAGAAACCAGGGCTCGGCCGGGATTTGAACCAGGGACCTCTCGCACCCTAAGCGAGAATCATACCCCCTAGACCACCGAGCCGCAAATCAGAGCGATAAAATATAAATTTGATCAAGTTTGGTTTCGTAATCCTTTTTTAAATCTACAAAACATTTATAAAGCGTAAATTAAGAGTTAAAAGAAATCAGGGCTCGGCCGGGATTTGAACCCGGGACCTCTCGCACCCAAAGCTAGAATCATACCCCTAGACCACCGAGCCGCAAACCAGAGAAAAAATAAATATTTGAACAAGTTTGGCCTTGTAATCCTTTTTCAAATGTACAAAATATTTAGAAAGCGTAAATTCAGATGGAAGAGAAACCAGGGCTCGGCCGGGATTTGAACCCGGGACCTCTCGCACCCTAAGCGAGAATCATACCCTAGACCACCGAGCCGCAAATCAGAGCGATAAAATATAAATTTGATCAAGTTTGGTTTCGTAATCCTTTTTAAATCTACAAAACATTTATAAAGCGTAAATTAAGAGTTAAAAGAAATCTGGGCTCGGCCGGGATTTGAACCCGGGACCTCTCGCACCCAAAGCGAGAATCATACCCCTAGACCACCGAGCCGCAAACCAGAGCGGAAAAATATATTTGAACAAGTTTGGTCTTGTAATCCTTTTTTCAAATGTACAAAATATTTAGAAAGCGTAAATTCAGAGATGGAAGAGAAACCAGGGCTCGGCCGGGATTTGAACCCGGGACCTCTCGCACCCTAAGCGAGAATCATACCCTAGACCACCGAGCCGCAAATCAGAGCGATAAAATATAAATTTGATCAAGTTTGGTTTCGTAATCCTTTTTTAAATCTACAAAACATTTATAAAGCGTAAATTAAGAGTTAAAAGAAATCAGGGCTCGGCCGGGATTTGAACCCGGACCTCTCTCACCCAAAGCGAGAATCATACCCCTAGACCACCGAGCCGCAAACCAGAGCGGAAAAATATATATTTGAACAAGTTTGGCCTTGTAATCCTTTTCAAATGTACAAAATATTTAGAAAGCGTAAATTCAGAGGGAAGAGAAACCAGGGCTCGGCCGGGATTTGAACCCGGACCTCTCGCACCCTAAGCGAGAATCATACCCCTAGACCACCGAGCCGCAAATCAGAGCGATGAAAATATAAATTTGATCAAGTTTGGTTTCGTAATCCTTTTTTAAATCTACAAAACATTTATAAAGCGTAAATTAAGAGTTAAAAGAAATCTGGGCTCGGCCGGGATTTGAACCCGGGACCTCTCGCACCCAAAGCGAGAATCATACCCCTAGACCACCGAGCCGCAAACCAAAGCGGAAAATATATATTTGAACAAGTTTGGCCTTGTAATAATTTTTCAAATGTACAAAATATTTAGAAGCGTAAATTCAGATGGAAGAGAAACCAGGGCTCGGCCGGGATTTGAACCCGGAACCTCTCGCACCCAAATCGAGAATCATACCCCTAGACCACCGAGCCGCAAATCAGAGCGATGAAATATAAATTTGATCAAGTTTGGTTTCGTAATCCTTTTTAAATCTACAAAACATTTATAAAGCGTAAATTAAGAGTTAAAAAAAATCAGGGCTCGGCCGGGATTTGAACCCGGGACCTCTCGCACCCAAAGCGAGAATCATACCCCTAGACCACCGAGCCGCAAACCAGAGCGGAAAAATAAATATTTGAACAAGTTTGGCCTTGTAATCCTTTTTCAAATGTACAAAATATTTAGAAAGCGTAAATTGAGATGGAAGAAAACAGGGCTCGGCCGGGATTTGAACCCGGGACCTCTCGCACCCTAAATCGAGAATCATACCCTAGACCACCGAGCCGCAAATCAGAGCGATGAAATATAATTTGATCAAGTTTGGTTTCGTAATCCTTTTTAAATCTACAAAACATTTATAAAGCGTAAATTAAGAGTTAAAAAAATCTGGGCTCGGCCGGGATTTGAACCCGGGACCTCTCGCACCCAAAGCGAGAATCATACCCCTAGACCACCGAGCCGCAAACCAGTGAGCGGAAAATAAATTTTGAACAAGTTTGGCCTTGTAGTAATTTTTCAAATGTACAAAATATTTAGAAAGCGTAAATTCAAGAGGAAGAGAAACCAGGGCTCGGCCGGGATTTGAACCCGGGACCTCTCGCACCCTAAATCGAGAATCATACCCCTAGACCACCGAGCCGCAAATCAGAGCGATGAAATATAAATTTGATCAAGTTTGGTTTCGTAATCCTTTTTAAATCTACAAAACATTTATAAAGCGTAAATTAAGAAAAAGAAATCAGTTTCGGCCTTTGAACCTGGGACCTCTCGCACCCTAAGCGAGAATCATACCCCTAGACCATAATATTTGAACCCTTGTAATCCTTTTTCAAATGTACAAAATATTTAGAAAGCGTAAATTTAAGAGGAAAGAAACTCGGCCGGGATTTGAACCCGGACCTCTCGCACCCAAAGCGAGAATCATACCCCTAGACCACCGAGCCGCAAATCAGAGCGGAAAAATATATATTTGATCAAGTTTGGTTTCGTAATCCTTTTTTTAAATCTACAAAACATTTATAAAGCGTAAATTAAGAGGAAAAGAAATCTGGGCTCGGCCGGGATTTGAACCAGGACCTCTCGCACCCTAAGCGAGAATCATACCCCTAGACCACCGAGCCGCAAATCAGAGCGATAAAATATAAATTTGATCAAGTTTGGTTTCGTAATCCTTTTTTAAATCTACAAAACATTTATAAAGCGTAAATTAAGAGTGAAAGAATCTGGGCTCGGCCGGGATTTGAACCCGGGACCTCTCGCACCCAAAGCGAGAATCATACCCCTAGACCACCGAGCCGCAAACCAGTGAGGAAAATATATATTTGAACAAGTTTGGCCTTGTAATCCTTTTTCAAATGTACAAAATATTTAGAAAGCGTAAATTCAAGAGGAAAGAAAACCTGGGCTCGGCCGGGATTTGAACCCGGACCTCTCGCACCCTAAGCGAGAATCATACCCCTAGACCACCGAGCCGCAAATCAGAGCGATAAAATATAAATTTGATCAAGTTTGGTTTCGTAATCCTTTTAAATCTACAAAACATTTATAAAGCGTAAATTAAGAGTTAAAAGAAATCAGGGCTCGGCCGGGATTTGAACCCGGGACCTCTCGCACCCAAAGCGAGAATCATACCCTAGACCACCGAGCCGCAAACCAGTGAGCGGAAAATAAATATTTGAACAAGTTTGGCCTTGTAATCCTTTTTCAAATGTACAAAATATTTAGAAAGCGTAAATTAGATGGAAAGAAACCTGGGCTCGGCCGGGATTTGAACCCGGGACCTCTCGCACCCTAAGCGAGAATCATACCCTAGACCACCGAGCCGCAAATCAGAGCGATGAAATATAAATTTGATCAAGTTTGGTTTCGTAATCCTTTTTAAATCTACAAAACATTTATAAAGCGTAAATTAAGAGTTAAAAGAAATCTGGGCTCGGCCGGGATTTGAACCCGGGACCTCTCGCACCCAAAGCGAGAATCATACCCCTAGACCACCGAGCCGCAAACCAGAGCGGAAAAATATATATTTGAACAAGTTTGGCCTTGTAATCCTTTTTCAAATGTACAAAATATTTAGAAAGCGTAAATTCAGATGGAAGAGAAACAGGGCTCGGCCGGGATTTGAACCCGGGACCTCTCGCACCCTAAGCGAGAATCATACACCTAGACCACCGAGCCGCAAATCAGAGCGATGAAATATAAATTTGATCAAGTTTGGTTTCGTAATCCTTTTAAATCTACAAAACATTTATAAAGCGTAAATTAAGAGTTAAAAGAAATCTGGGCTCGGCCGGGATTTGAACCCGGGACCTCTCGCACCCAAAGCGAGAATCATACCCCTAGACCACCGAGCCGCAAACCAGAGCGGAAAAAAATATATATTTGAACAAGTTTGGCCTTGTAGTCCTTTTTCAAATGTACAAAATATTTAGAAAGCGTAAATTCAGAGGAAAGAGAAAAACCAGGGCTCGGCCGGGATTTGAACCCGGGACCTCTCGCACCCTAAGCGAGAATCATACCCCTAGACCACCGAGCCGCAAATCAGAGCGATAAAATATAAATTTGATCAAGTTTGGTTTCGTAATCCTTTTTAAATCTACAAAACATTTATAAAGCGTAAATTAAGAGTTAAAAGAAATCAGGGCTCGGCCGGGATTTGAACCCGGGACCTCTCGCACCCAAAGCTAGAATCATACCCCTAGACCACCGAGCCGCAAACCAGTGAGGCAAAATAAATATTTGAACAAGTTTGGCCTTGTAGTCCTTTTTCAAATGTACAAAATATTTAGAAAGCGTAAATTCAGATGGAAGAGAAACAGGGCTCGGCCGGGATTTGAACCCGGACCTCTCGCACCCTAAGCGAGAATCATACACCTAGACCACCGAGCCGCAAATCAGAGCGATGAAATATAAATTTGATCAAGTTTGGTTTCGTAATCCTTTTTAAATCTACAAAACATTTATAAAGCGTAAATTAAGAGTTAAAAGAAATCTGGGCTCGGCCGGGATTTGAACCCGGGACCTCTCGCACCCAAAGCGAGAATCATACC